GGTGCAAAAAGGAGCACATTACCAATGGTACAAAAAGGGGGAGTCCATGAGCTTTGAGAGGACCAGATTCAGGTCCTGGGGGGCAATGGCTCATGCACCTGGGGGTAAACCCTATCCAACTCCTTAAGGAAATGGTGGATGATAGGGTCTGTGAAAACGGACGTGTCCTGCAACCCTGAATGAAAGGCTGAGAGGGCTGCCTGGTGCATCCGTATCGTGGAAGGAGCCAAACCCTGGAGTCTGAGATCCCGGAGGTAATCCAAAATGGCCAGCACAGGGGCCTCCATAGGGGGGAACCCCTTATCCTCTGACCATAAGAAAGCGCTTCCACTTTGCCAAGTAAGATACTCTTGTGAAGGTTTACAGCTCCCCAAAAGGACTGCCTGGATTCGTTCCGAGCACTGCCTCTCCGTGGCTGTCAACCACAGAGCTTCCATGCCATGCAATGCAGGGAGCAGAGATTTGGATGCCGGGTATAGGGGGAAGGCCAAAGGCTGTTCTACTAAGAATTTGGGGAGAGCTGGAAACCAGTACTGGTGAGGCCACACCAGAGCTATCAGAATCAGTCCAGGATAGGGCAAAAGCTGCCCTTGGTCTTTTGGGACCAGGAAGTACAGGAGTAGAAGCACCTCCCCCTGAGGTCCCAGTGAACTTCCTCCACAGACCCCAGATCGAGAAGCTATTGCATCTCTAACCTTAATAGGTGTTCATGAGAGGGGACCGTGAATAGGGATGGGGTAGGGGGATGGAAGGGGAGTGAGAGCAGACTGGAATGAAATACCCACTTTTCACCATGCCCAGGACCCATCAATCCATTGTGATATGCAACCAGGCACGATGGAAAGGGGAAAGGCAATTGGGAAAAGGCCACTGGTTTGAGATTGGTACACTGACCCTGCTCACACCTTCAAAGATTTGACCTCTGCGTTGGCTGACCACCACGGCTACCTGGCCAGACGGCTTCCCCTCTGCTTCCGCCCACATGGAGCGTGGTGCGCCATGGCCAGCTGGCTGGGCAGAAGCTCCTCTTTGCTCCAGCCCAGATGCCCGCGCTCAGCCTGGGGAGGATGTGCCTCACTCCAGATGGGTTGGAGCAAAGGGGAAGGGCTGCTTGACCAGCTGGCCATGGCGTTCAGTCCAGGGAGGTTGCACCACGCTCCTGCTGGCCAGGAAACCCTTCCTCTTTGCTCCAGTCCAGCTGGAACGAGGCGCAGCCTCCCCAGGCTGAGTGCCATGTCCAGCTGGTAGACCCCAACCCAACACAAATACGAGCTAATTAACTACTTAATGAACAATTAACAGGAAGAGCAACTTGAAAAGAACAAAGGGACTCAATTACATGCTAAGTAACTAGTAAGAATTTGTGAATATTGCTGGTCATGCACTTGCAAATAAGCAAAATTAGAGCTCCAACAACCCTCACAGGCAGTAAGAAGGAACTGATGGGGTGAGGGCCAGCAGGGGTATATATATATGCTGCTATAGTGGCGCCACTCCAGGGGGGCTCCTCTGACGGGTACCGCTAAGGAAAAACTCTCCAACAATCTGTGCACATGGTGCACGCACACTTAAGTGGAATGGATATGAGAAAGCACTCGAAGAACTATATTTATTGTTTTCTTTATATAAGAACGGCCGTACTGGGTCAGACCAAAAAGGTCCATCTAGCCCAGTATCCTGTCTACCTACAGTGGCCAGCACCAGGTGCCCCAGAGAGGGTGGACCGAAGACAATGATCAAGCAATTTGTCTCCTGCCATCCCTCTCCATCCTCTGACAAACAGAGGCCAAGGACACCATTTTATCCCCTGGCTAATAGCCTTTTATGGACCTAACCTCCATGAATTTATCCAGCTTCTCTTTAAACGCTATTATAGTCCTAGCCTTCACAGCCTCCTCTGGCAAGGAGTTCCACAGGTTGACAACACGCTGTGTATAGAAGAACTTTCTTTTATTAGTTTTAAACCTGCTACCCATTAATTTCATTTGGTGTCCTCTAGTTCTTCTATTATGGGAACTAATAAATAACTTTTCTTTATCAGCCCTCTCCACACCACTCATGATTTTATAGACCTCTATCATATCCCCCCTCAGTCTCCTCTTTTCTAAACTGAAAAGTCCCAGTCGCTTTAACCTCTCCTCATATGGGACCCGTTCCAAACCCCTAATCATTTTAGTTGCCCTTTTCTGAACCCTTTCCAAGGCCAAAATATCTTTTTTGAGGTGAGGAGCCCACATCTGTACACAGTATTCAAGATGTGGGCGTCCCATAGTTTTATACAGGGGCAGTAAGATATTCTGGGCCTTATTTTCTATCCCTTTCCTAATAATTCCTAGCATCCTATTTGCCTTTTTGACCGCCGCTGCACTCTGTGTGGAAGTTTTCAGAGAACTGTCCACGATAACTCCAAGATCTCTTTCCTGATTTGTCGTAGCCAAATTAGCCCCCATCATACTGTACGTATAGTTGGGGTTATTTTTCCCGATGTGCATTACTTTACACTTATCCACATTAAATGATCTTGCCATTTAACATTCAATAAAAGAATTTACTTAGCTATTCTAGTTAGAAAAACTTTTAAAAAACCCACTTGAGTACACATTCAGCATCGGTCCCATTTTCACAGAGCAGGCTGGAAGAATTGTTAATCTTAAATACAGCTGCTGAATGAATATGTGAATCCTTACAAATATAGCTCATCACTACACTTTGGAATCCAGTAACATCAATGTTTGTCAATAAAAGATAAAGGATTACAGAAGAAATGTAAATATTTGTTTTCCCACAATGTAATTATTTTAGCTTTTAGTAAATTTAAATGAACCATGGCTTTAAGACTAAACAGCCATATATCTGGTGGATTATTAATTAATCTGATCTTTAACAAACATTGCTATTGGCACTCAATCTTTGCTATTATCCCTTATTGAAAATAAAATTCAAACAGAATGTAATCTTAATGCATAGGGATTTAAGTGCTTAAAGGCAGCTCAAAATTGAGGCTTTCCATTCACAGTTTTATCATCTTGAAGGGATACCCAATATAGAGGATTGTCCTTTGGCACATTGTTTTTTCTTCATCCACTTAAATTATCCTACTTCTTGCAAAGTACATTTATCATAAGACTCCCACTTGTGGAAATCTTTGATCCAAGTCTACAAGGAATATTTCTTATAATAGGGCACACGGTTTTCACCTTGTGTTGCTACTTCACATGTTGTTGGTCTGTAATTTTCATATTTATAATTTTGGAATAAATTCTTAAATGAATTTTTGAATTATTTTCAGTATTCAGATTGATTAAACACTTCAGTCTCTCATTAGATGAAGCACCCTCATCCCCAACTTAAATGAATAAAATAGATGTAGAATTTCTGGGGATAAATTAGATCTTAATAGTTTTTACTTTAAAATTAAGACTTAACTTGGCTTTGACTAGTAAAAATCCTAATGTAAGAAGTGTTTGTATCTTTTGCTATTTACTTGTTTTTTCATTGCGAAGGCAGTTTTATCCAGTACTCATGAACTGCTCTTTAACATTTGGCAGAGTTTCGATTTCAGATAAACATTGATGTAGTCTTTTAGGTCATTGAGAGCTGACTGTTCTCTTTGCATCTTTATTTTTAGTGTTTGAATGTTTTCAGATACACTTCAGAGGTTAAGGTAGGGTGACTACTAGTAGTTCAGTTTTGTAAAATTTGCCAAGTGTCACTCAGGGAATACACATTTTTATGTTCCCTCTGGAGAATGTGTGTTCCCTGTTTCTCAAGAGGAATGTGTGTACAGTGTTCGCTTATAGGCATTACCTTTTTTTGCAAATAACAAATAAGTTAATACATTTTTGTTGTACAGGCAGTCCCCGGGTTACGTACAAGATAGGGACTGTAGGTTTGTTCTTAAGTTGAATCTGTATGTAAGTCAGAACTGGCGGTCAGTTTCAGCAGCGGCTGAATCTGGAAGCCAGTTCCGACTTACATACAGATTCAACTTAAGAACAAACCTACAGTCCCTATCTTGTACGTAACCCGGGGACTGCCTGTACAACAAAAATGTATTAACTTATTTGTTATTTGCAAAAAAAGGTAATGCCTATAAGCGAACACTGTACACACATTCCTCTTGAGAAACAGGGAACACACATTCTCCAGAGGGAACATAAAAATGTGTATTCCCTGAGTGACACTTGGCAAATTTTACAAAACTGAACTACTAGTAGTCACCCTACCTTAACCTCTGAAGTGTATCTGAAAACATTCAAACACTAAAAATAAAGATGCAAAGAGAACAGTCAGCTCTCAATGACCTAAAAGACTACATCAATGTTTATCTGAAATCGAAACTCTGCCAAATGTTAAAGAGCAGTTCATGAGTACTGGATAAAACTGCCTTCGCAATGAAAAAACAAGTAAATAGCAAAAGATACAAACACTTCTTACATTAGGATTTTTACTAGTCAAAGCCAAGTTAAGTCTTAATTTTAAAGTAAAAACTATTAAGATCTAATTTATCCCCAGAAATTCTACATCTATTTTATTCATTTAAGTTGGGGATGAGGGTGCTTCATCTAATGAGAGACTGAAGTGTTTAATCAATCTGAATACTGAAAATAATTCAAAAATTCATTTAAGAATTTATTCCAAAATTATAAATATGAAAATTACAGACCAACAACATGTGAAGTAGCAACACAAGGTGAAAACCGTGTGCCCTATTATAAGAAATATTCCTTGTAGACTTGGATCAAAGATTTCCACAAGTGGGAGTCTTATGATAAATGTACTTTGCAAGAAGTAGGATAATTTAAGTGGATGAAGAAAAAACAATGTGCCAAAGGACAATCCTCTATATTGGGTATCCCTTCAAGATGATAAAACTGTGAATGGAAAGCCTCAATTTTGAGCTGCTAAAAACAAACATAAATAGAGTACTGATTTTATATACCAGAGAACGTGCAGAATGTTAACCATTCAAAGTTTTAAAAACTAAAAATAGATTAAACCTGAATTCATAAGTTTCCAAAGCTGATCCACCAAAGCTTCATTGCACAAGGGAGACTCCATGTTCTTAGTAAAGGGGGGATTCCTTGTCAGCATGTTCAAAATCTTATGTCTAAAAGAGAAACAAAGGTTGCTTTTTAATCCAAAATTGCTTTGTTTTGTATGTCTGAAATTCTCGTTTTGGCACTGGAGTTTTTACTGGGTATACAAATGTTAAGATCTGTGAGCCCCTATTACAAAGGATCATAGAATACAACTGGAAGGGACCTCAAGAGGTCATCGAGTCCAGTCCTCTGCCCTTACGGTGGGACCAGTCACCATCTAAATCATTCCTGATAGATGTCTATCTAACCTGCTCTTAAATATTTCCAATGATAGAGATTACATAACTCTTTAGGCAATTTATTCCAGTGTTTAACCACCCTGACAGTTAGGAAGCTTTTCCTAATGTCCAATCTAAACCTCCTTTGCTGCAATTTAAGCCTATTGTTTTTCCTCCTATCATTAGAGGTTAAGGAGAACCATTTTCTCCCTCCTACTTGTAACACCCTTTTCGGTACTTGAAAACTGCTATCATGTCCCTTCTCAGTCGTCTCTTTTCTAAATTAAACAAACCTGATTCTTTTAGTCTTCTCTCATAGGTCATGTTTTCTAGGCCTTTAATCACTTTTGTTGCTCTTCTCTGGACATTTTCCAATTCCTCCACATCTTTCTTGAAATGTGGTGCCCAGAACTGGACACAATACTCTAATTGAGGGCTAATCAGCACAGAGTAGAGAGGAAGAATGACTTCTTGTGTCTCTCTCACAACATTCATAATACATACCTTTAATTCATGTTAGCTCTTTCCTCAGTCTATACATGCACACATATATGCACTCAGTTTAAAAGTAATGAATAGGACACAATCAGTGTGGACATTAGTTGCCAACATTACACATCATGATAAAGAGAAAGCGTGATTTTGTATCTAAGCTGTTTTCATGATAATCTGAATGGCCATGTTGTGCTGTTAGCTAAATTAATAGGAACCATATTAGAACACTTCACATTCTAATAAATATTTATTCTCCCCTAAATTTTTTTTAAACTTGTCTAAACATTAAACATGCTACAAAATTACAGGAATCCGTCAAAACATTTAAGACTCACACTTCACTTTTAAAAGGGACGCCAACTATTTAGAAATTACAATACTGTTTGAATATTTGCAATGAAACACTTATGACCCCAACACCTGCCAGCAGCAAGCAAAAACAAATGAAAAAAACCTGCATTTTTTCAGATTGTTTACTATGCTTATGACAACAAATTCTGAATAGTATTTTTCACCATTTTCTCTAAATAGTCTTTTTTTTCCTTGTTGAAAAGACCCTTATAAATATGGGAACAGAAATACCCTTAACATTGAAGGGAGTTTTTTATATTCAGGATATAATTTTTAAAGTATGCTCTATTCAAACTGACAGAATCTCGTTGACAGACTCAATTAAAAATATTTTGCTTCCTCACCAGATATTGTCTGTTACTTATACCTGATATAATAAATCAAATTATATCTAACTTCCTTTTAAAAAATAACAGCAATATATTCCTAGGACTAGGAAAAATAGTAACTATACTTGCATAGGAAGCCTAAAACATAAATAGGAAAAATACACAAGTATATTCATTTTAAAGAACAGTACTGCTGCATTGGCAATCAGTAAAAGAAAGAATTGAGGAGCCGGGAAATGAAGATCATAACTAATGACATAGCCCATGCTAATATATTTATTTACTGCATTGGCTAAATCTAAATTAAAGTAGTAAGTAACCACAACATTTTCATTTGTTATCCTTTTTCTCATCTACAGTCTAACAACTTCTTTAAGCTCTTTGGTAGTTAGAACCTAATGAACATTATTATGTTTAAAACACTTTTACACACTTAAGATTTGTTTTCATTACATGCAACAGATCAATATTAGAGTTAGATGTACCAACTGTATGCAGCAAAGCCTCTTAAATCAAAGGACAAACCAAAACCACACATGTAATTTGAGACTAAAACCTGATCAAGTTTTAGGGATTTTTTTTTTTAGTTAAACAACGATAAACTATTTGCTAAATATAAATGATCATGAATAGCAAAAATGAATTTTGGTGGTATTTTAAAAATTAATGGAAACAATTTTTCAAAAAATATTCATAAATTTTAAGACTAGAAATGACCATTATGGTAATCTATCCTAACCTATGGCATAATAGGGACTGAAGAACTTTATGCACTAATTTGAATACTGGAGAAAAGTGCTGACTTTTGAGTATCTGTAGACATACTAACCTTACATAAGGTACAGGATCATTTTGAACCATGTTAAGCAACCACTGTAATTCCTCATAACTCCGATCAACTATAACAAAAATTAAATGACTTGTTAGTATGCCTACACAAATAAAGAGGGAAGTAAAGACATTAGAAAATTATTCTACATGTGTTATGTAGAATCACAAGGGATTATCTGAAGCTGTAATATGACTGGAATGTATCTCAAATGATTTAACACATATTTCCATATCAGTATAGGTAAATACTAGTGATACATCTAAAATGACATTGTTTTCTTTTTTAAAGGAGCAAAAATTCTTCAGTATTCAACATGGCACACTAAAAAGTAAATAGTCTGTAGACAATATAATCCAGTAGTATATTTCATTCAAAAGCATTTAAGAAAATATTATTCTGGCACTAGTGATACAATTAAGTTTTGTGATAGATGACTGGATATAAATAATGCTAGGAAAATACTTACTTATTTACAAAACTGTGAACATAGTCCCTCTCTACAATCTTCTTTCTATCAAACTGTTTCTGAATATTTCAATAGTCAGTGGGACCAAAACAAATGGAGACTGCTTCAGTCCCCACTCACACCATTTACTGCTCTGCCTCTACCTCCCTTGCCCACGGCGGAGACTGTGTTGGGGAGAACCGGCTTTTAAGCCTGCTCCCCGCCTTGCTGCCTCTTTCTGATAGAGCCAGCAAGGGGGAAAAATGACTAGTCGAATCACTAGTCGACTATCTGATAAGCTTATGCTTATTGGATAGTTTACTAGTCGCTTACATCCCTATGCTGGACCAGGGATTTTACCAGACCAGTGTCCCAAATTTTAGAGGCTCAACCTGTAATACTACAAAAGAAAAAAATAGTCTCTCTATATATATTTTAGAGTGAGTCTGTGACTCTGTTCATAACATGGAAAGGGAGGGGGAAGAGAGAGAGGAGGGATGTGATACTGAGAGTGGCCACTGAGGGAAGCTATGCACCAGGAGAGTGACTAGCAGATCTGGGGCTCCGCCATCTTCCCTGCCAGCCTGCTGGTAAGGAACCTCCTGCTCCAAACCTGAAGCCTCTCCCTGCCGGCAGCAAGGGGGGCAGCCCCCAGAGCCTACTCCCCTTTGTGGAGAGACTGCAGGTTGAAGGGGAGGAGCCACTGGACATGGGGCAGCTAGAGGGGGAGGAGCAGTCACCAGAGCCTGGCCCCCAGAGAGCCAGCAGAGCCAGGGGGAAGACACTGGAGGCTGGGAGTAGATCCCAGAGCCTCGCCCCTTCAGACAGCCTGCAAGCCCTGGGATGGACTGCTGGAGGGGTGGCAGCCTCCGAAGCCTGTCTCCCCAGAAAACTGCAGGCTGCAGGGGGGAGGGGGAGAAGCTGTAACTGGGAAGGGCCTGCTGGCAGCGGAGTGCTGCCCCTACCCTCTGAGAAGAGTCACTGCCAGAGCAGCACTACCCTTGCCACCCTAGGTGGTCCCCTAAGCTCCTCCAACCTCCCAGTCCTGAGCCCTCTGAACTGAGTCCTGCACGTCCCACCTGCAATGACTTCTGCACCCCCACTCCCTCCACCCTGCCCCTTCTCACCCCCAAACTCTCACTCCAGCCTTCATTTTCAAAAAATACATTCATTGATATAAAGCATGTATATTTTTCATGTATTTTTCAAAAAAAAAAATTATTTCAGTTAAAGATCCAAGCAATGCCAGGAACATCCGCTAGTATGAGATAAAATAAACATTTTCCCTCAACTATTTTAATTTCCTCTCTCAGTGTGTTCCTAGGATGCTACAACATGGTTTAATTTATAACCATCACCAATATGTAGTTATTTGCTCAGGAGTGACTTTACTCATCTATCTAAATAGAATCCTCCACATTTCAAATGCATTTACTAACTGTTGCTGTGCAGATGTCTTCAACAGAAAGTTTGTTTCTATAAAACAGAAAGAGAGCAGCATTCTCCATTTACTGTATTTTGTTTCCTTTATCTAATTTTCATGTTTTATTCATGCTAGTTCAACTTTTCCTTCTGATTTGTTTCAGTTTTGGTCTCTCTGTCAGCAGTTTTTGGACTATAATTTATTTATCTTTTCTGGTCTAATCTACACCAAAGCAAAGTTGCCATTGCTCTCTGAAATGCCCTATGAATGTAAGGAGAGCTGGATTTAATGGAACAGTATTTAATTATACTGAAAATTATCTACAGAAAAATCAGCATCTTCTCTTTAAAAATATTTTAACAGATCTACTAGAAGAATGGTTACTAATCCTACAGTAATTGTGGTTCTTCAAGGTACTTAGTCAATGTGCATACTACTATAGGTATGCACCTCATGTGTGACAGACTGGATTGTTTTTTTTATTAACAGTGTCCACTGGGCTGTGAATATGTCTGTGCTTTTGTATGCTCCTATGTGAGGGCATAATGGATGGAGCAGCCACAACCCCTCTCTCAGTTCCCTCTCAATTCAAAGCCCACATGGGTCAGGAGTCTCAAAAGTGGAGACAGAGGGTGTGGCCATGGGACCCACAATTGCTGGAGGGTAAGTTTTCTTCTGTTTTGTTTTGAGTATTTGCCGGCATGGATCCTCCTAGAAGTAACTGACCATAAGTATTCTCCCTGGAGAGTGGGAATGAGGTGTTTAAGCTCTATCAGTCTGAGATAGAAGTATTGCACTCCCAAACTTGGCATCCTATCTGGCTGCTACACCAAAACACATGTTGTTCAACAAAAGCTAGTGAGTTGTTCCACAGAACTTCCTTGAAGATCACAGAGACTAACTTTAAGCAGGTAGACAATGCCATCTGAGCCCTGGTGAACCTTTGATGTCTGGATGAAGTGACTCAACAGCCAAGTGATAAAAGATGAAAATATGCTTCATGATCCATTTCAAGTTTCTCTATGATGAGAGAGCTTGGCCTTTCGATACTGGCTATAGTCACAAAGAGGCGGAGAAAGCCTAGAAAGTTTGGTCAATTGTATAGGTAGGTAATATAGCAAGTCTTTGGAGATGTCCAAGCCTGCAACTTCTTCTCTCCTGGCACTGAGTTCAGCTTCACCTTAAGACTTGACAAGATGAATTTAGAGAGTGGATTCATTACCAGCTTGTTCCTTTGGAAGGAGGCACAACACAGCCTGGCCATAAGCGTGTAGTTCTCATTAACTCTGTTGAGGTAATTGCCATTGATGACACTGTGGTATACTGAGCACTCTGATGCTTCAAGAGGACACGCAATAAGCTTCAAAAGGAAAATGTGAGGTGCCATATGGGAATCAGATCTTTGATTTGAGAACAAATATGAATGCCTCTGAGGAATTTTAATATTATAAAGCTTGAGTAACATAGTTAGATTGTACCAAAACATAACACATTGATTTCATGGCCAGGTAAAACTTAGGAATTAAATGTTACCCATGTATTCCAGGAGGGAAATGTAGTCCAAGATTTTTCAGTCGCGGGGCTTGCATTTGATCAATATTACAGGTTGTCCAGAACCTTTTGCATTTTGGAGAGTAGGTCTTCCTCGTGGAGCGATTTCTGTTTTGTATGTGAATTTCCTGAACTTGTAGGAAGCAACCTATGTCAGCAGTGCTCAGCTGGCCAAAATGACTACAGATATGAGTGTTTTATCTGACTGAAGTTCCAGGATACTGTCTGCGTGATGGGGTGGACCAGGCCCTGAAGTTTCCTGCTGGAGTCTTGTGGCTTTGCCATATCCCATCCCAGCAAACCATAGAGAAGTCCTACAATGAGGCTAGAGTGCCTGCAGGAGGAAGCGACCAGTTAGGGGCCAGGAAGGCACTATAAAACGAGCTTTAGGCCCAGAGTCAGCTCAGTACCATTAGAGATCTCAGGAAGATAAGACCAGAGGTGACTGGTTGGCTGAGGGAGCAGCAGCACCATGGAGAGCTCCATGTACAGAGCTACTGTAGACTATATGATGAACTGTGATAGAACCCTGAGGTAAGGGCAAGGACACTCTCTCCAGGAAGAGAAACCCCGGAGGCAGCACTCTCCATCCAAGTGGGGAATAGATTGAAAGACCATACAGTGGGCACTGATTGAGACCTGGTAAGCGTGTACCCTGGAAGGGGTTTTGAATGATTTACACAGGGTGCGTGACTCAGCTGGAGAGCTGAGTAGCCAAAAAAGGCTGAAGTACAGAGCGAGTGCAAGCACACACACTCAGCCAGACAGGGACGCTTGCGGGAGGCGAGTGCCACCCAATTACAGTCTGAACATGCCTGAAGGTATATAGGAAGCTGCTTTGATAGTTCTACCAGATTTGACAGCCAAACTGTCTTGGACAATATAAGACTATCACAATAATAAAGCCTTACCCTATCCAATCTTAGATAATATTCTGGAGATCAGAAGAATTGTCAGGAAAGCACACAGGGGTCCTCAGGACCACTGAAGGAGAAAGATTTCTGGTGGAAAGTCTGGAGAGATGCCTCCTCTGAAGCAGAAATTCAGATATTTGGGACAGCCATAGACAACTGGTGCCTCCCCACACTGGGAGGGGGGCACAATATGAAGGGTAGGACACATGATCACCCCATGTATCTCTCTTGCTTAGTAACACCTATTCCACTTTGCACCCAGCTTGGGCTCCAAGATGTTACCTACAGGGTTGATGTTCTGTCCTTGTCTCCCTGCACCTCCCCCGCAGTACATTCAGTCACTGTTTATGGCAGCTGGGTGGATGGGTATAAGCAGCGCTCGACAATTCAGGTAATTTACTTGCCACGGGCGAGTGGATTATAGCCCAGCATGGCACCGCAGCGCAATCAGCGCATGCATAGCATGGTCTGCGCATGCGCAGTGTGCTGAACTGCGCAGCTGGCGAGCGGGCTCGCCGCGGCTTGGTGAGCCCTGGGTATAAGACAGCCACTTCCGCCTGAGATCGCCTAGCTTGGTGGCAGTGATGATCCGCTTCGTGCCTGGAGTCAGATGCCAGGCACAGGGGGAGACACGCTTTGGCTTGCTTAGCCCCTGTCCCCTCAGTATGGCCTTGAAGAAAGACAATGAAGGTAGGTGGGATGGCAGTAGACAGGCAAAATGGATGGAGTACCCTGCTAATATAATTTCCAAAACTCACTTGTCCAGTGATATGCTCCCAAGCTTGTTGAAAGTGATCAAGCCAGTCCCTGAAACAAGAAAGGCACGTGAACTGTTGTAGCTGGTAAGGAGAAAGGGAGAGTAACTCAGAACCTTAACCAACCCATCAAAATTCATGTTTTGATTATGAGAGTTGTGAGGTTGCAGGCCTGCTGACAGACTGGTGTGAGAGGAGTTGAATTCTGGGTATCATTGAGGACTGGCACTGTGCTCTGGGTGGCACAGAGGAATGGGTGCCCCAGCCCTGCCCCTTCTGCCCAACGCTCCACCCCTTCCAGGAGAGCAAAGCTGCCCCCTCCACACCTTGCCCATGGAATTTGCCAGCACCCCTGTGAGGTTGATGCCTGTGTAGCAGTCTCTCTTTCTGGATCTTCTGCCTCTTTTGTTGGGGTTCATAAGGTCTATGGGAGTCGGAGAACTGATCTCTGTGCTGTCTGGCACTTACTAAATTTATTTTTATGTGCACAGGTTTAAATTCCCAGGGACTGTAGAATGACGCTGGACTCTTACATGTCTGCAGAGACTTGTTAGTATTCTCTGCAATCAGTTTTAAGTCAGTGAAGGGAAGATCCTCAACTGTGTTATGGACCTCACTCAAAAATTCTGACAGCTGAAGCTTGTAGGCCCCTCTCATAGCTACTGCTTTAGAAACAGAGCAAGCACCTGTGTTAGCAGCATTCATAGAGGTCTACAGAGATGTTCTGGCAAGAGGCTGATCCTCTGCAATGACTGCCAGGAACAAATCCCTCTATTTTGGTAATAAATGCTCAATAAACTAGATGAGCTTTCAGTAACTGGTGAAATATAATCGGACCATCAACACCTGACAGTTGGTTATCCTAAACTGCAGAGCCACCGATGAACATATTTTGTGACCAAGTAAATCAAAATGCTTTTGATCATTATCGTAGAGCATTGATTTAGCATGACATAAATTTCCCTGTTAATTGGGAGAGATGAAACATATTTTTTCAATCCTTCTATAAGTGGGCAGTGTTGTCACAAGGATATTACTTTTGACAGATCCAGCAGAGCAGAGCCTTATCAATAGACTGCATACAGACTACCTAGTTGTTTGTTTATTTATTATTTAAGTCTATGTTGTATCTCCTTAACTTCCTCAAACGGTATCTGTATGAATACCATTATCATTTAAATAAAGTCCTGAAACTACTGAAGTTGTCAGTTCAATGGTTGAGGAGGAATGGCTGCTTCACCTGGCGATGAAGAAAAGATGTTGGCTGGCATGGTGACATCTTTGTCCACACTTTCCTCCTGCTCCTTGAAAGTCTCTTCTTTTACTTTGGGCCTTTGAGAGAAAGGATGGGGGGAGGAGGGGTTAGTCCACCCCATTTCGGAGATAAGTGACTGAAGGGGGTTCTAGAAAATTGTTGCCACTTGTGTCTTCCATCATGGCCAATGAAGAGGCCCATATGATATGAATGGGGGCTTACAAGAGTGCACATGGCACTGGGATTGATCTTGAGGGTGTTAAATAAGTTCCTTTTCCCAATACTCCTCTGAATAATACTCCTCTGACTGAGATAAGGAGAGCCCTGAACTAATATCTGAGAAACATGAGACATTCCCATCTGCCTCCTCTTCAACATCACTTTGTAGAGGTGGAGTATTGGTAGAAAAAAGTGATGACTCCATCATAGAACACTAGAACTGGAAGAGACCTTGAGAGGTCATTTAGTCCAGTCCCCTGCCCTCATGGCAGGACCCAGTACTGTCTAGACCATGCCTGATAGACATTTATCTAACCTACTCTTAAATATCTCCACAGATGGAGATTCCATAACCTCCCTAGGCAACTTATTCCAGTGTTTCACCACACTGACAGGAATTTTTTCCTAAACTCCAACCTAAATTTCCGTTGCTGCAGTTTAAGCCCATTGCTTCCTGTTCTATCCTCAGAGGCCACTAACAACAATTTTTCTCCCTCCTCGTGACACCCTTTTAGATACCTGAAAACCGCTATCGTGTACCCTCTCAGTCTTCTCTTTTCCAAACTAAACAAGCCCAATTCTTTCAGTATTCCTTCATAGGTCATGTTCTCTAGAACTTTAATCATTCTTATTGCTCTTCTCTGGACCTTCTCCAATTTCTCCACATCTTTCTTGAAATGTGGTACCCAGAACTGGACACAATACTCCAACTGAGGCCTTATCAGAGCAGAATAGAGTAGAAGAATGACTTCGCGTGTCTTGCTCACAACATTCCTATTAATGCACACCAGAATCGTGTTAGCTTTTTTTGCAACAGTGTCACGCTGTTGACCTATGTTTAATTTGTCATCTACTATGACTCCTAAATCACTTTCAGCAGTACTACTTCCTAGACAATCACTTCCCACTCTGTATGTGTGAAACTGATTGTTCCTTCCTAAGTGGAGTACTTTGCATTTGTCCTTATTAAACTTCATCCTGTTTACCTCAGACCATTTCTCCAATTTGTCCAGATCATTTTGAATTATGACCCTATCCTCCAAAGCAGTTGCAACCCCTCCCAGCTTGGTATCATCTACAAACTTAATAAGCATACTCTCCATGCCAATATCTAAATCTTTGATGAAGATATTGAACAGAACCTGTCCCAAAACAGACCTCTGCGGAACCCCAGCAAGATTGTGATCCGTTAATATCTACTCTCTGAGAACGATTTGCCAGCTAGTTAGGCACCCACCTTATAGTAGCCTCATCTAAGTTGTATTTGCCTATTTTATTGATAAGAATATCATGTGAGACTGTATCAAATGCCTTACCAAAGTCTAGGCAGACCACGTCTACCGCTTCTCCCATCGTACTGGATGAATGTCTGGAATCCTAGGAATTCTTGGTACCATGAAAAGATCAGTACAGAACAAAGGGGAGCAAGACCATCACCTTGAGGTTTCATGAAAACCTAAACTCCTGCTGTACCAACATGGCAGTCAGTAGCAAGGGAGCAGCTTGAACAGAGATGATTGTGGGCAGAAAGAGTGGATGGTACGGAAGGCATTATGCACTCTAAGAAGTCCTGTCAGATGATAATCTGGTCTTCAGTGATACCAAAATGGTAGATACAAAGAGCCTGACTGATTGTACTGGTATAGATTTAAAGGTGATTATCTTTTCCTTGCCACCATGATCCGCAAATGATACAAATGATTTTCTGGAACTGGAGCCCTTAGATTTTTTTGGGTTTAATGGTGCTCACAATACTTGAGGCAGCAGCGTAGGATGGCAGGCAGCTCCTACCTGCAGCCCCGCTTCCAAAAAGCTATTTGCTACCCCACACTCCTGCCTCTGATACAGAGGGAGCAGCAAGGGGTGGCAGCCAGCTCCCCAGGAGCAGGGCGGGAAGCCTGCGTGTAACTGTGAATGTTAACGTCTTATCAGTTAACCATTTAATCAGGGGTGGGAGGAACCTTTTCTGGGTTTGGGGCTGCTGACCCACAGAAAAATCATTTGGGGGCTGCACACAGGTGAGAAGCAAAAAAACAAACAAACAAAAACCCCCTCACTGACGTAGCCCCCGACTGAGAAGGTGAAAGACATTCCCCATATTCCCCTCGCAAACCAGAGGCTAGGAAGGCCCAGGCTAATAGATTGTGTGTGCTCCAGCCCCATGAGGGGGGCAGCAAGGAGACTGGACTGCCAGTGCAAGATCCTCAGTACTGGGGGAGAGCCCTGAGCCTTGGGGGACAGATTTTGGCAAGCCAGGGGTCACATCTGGCACGTGGGCCTTAGGTTCGCCACCCCTGGTTTACATGGTTATATGCTCACATCCCTAACTCTAAACACACCACTCATTCAACTTATTTAAATCTTGAAAATAAGTAGTTAAGTGAATTCTTCGGCTTTCTATATCACCTACCACACACCACCAAAAACACATTGCAGAAGGCATTTGTTTCTGGATACTGAAAAGCAATATTCATCCCAACTTCATGAAACTCATGCTCATATGGGCAAACCTTACTAGTAATCCTGTGTTCTCTTTTAGCCACACATTGGCTTACTCACTGTCATGCCATCATTTCATTTGAAAACAACAAGCAGTCCAGTGACACCCAGACTAAAAAAATATATCATGAATTTCTGTGGGTAAAACCCACTTCACCAAATGAGCTGGAGGTAACTGTTCAGGTTCTGCATTTGCATGTGAATTTTATGCAGTGATCAAAAGTTTTCTCAAAAAATTACCTTTTGTGTAATCAACAACTGCCTCCAAAGCTGCTATTCGGATATCAACAAAGTGTCCATATTCCGCATATGACTTAAAGAGAGCGGGATCACTTGGGACATGTCCATTCTTCTGAAGAACACGAATGGCTTTCAAACAGCTAGATGGAGGGTAGGAGTGAGAAGGGAGGACAATTTGCAGTAAGTTTCTAGACTATTAATCGCTGTGATTAATGAAGCTACTTTCTTTGACAGTACAATATAAATTTGTAAACTTCACTGCAAATTTTCTAGGATAAAAGTATCCAAATTACTATACCACCGTGATTTTGTATGGCTGTCAGGGTTGTAGGCAAGTACAATTCATAAAAGATGAGTTTACAGTGTAAATAGAAACACTGCACCAAATTCCCTAGGTTGGCTTCAAAGGATCTGTTCTAATGTACACCAGCAGAAAACCTGCCCCATGATGTTTTGTATTTTTTATAGTCCCAATTGTTCCCTTTGCATAATTTTCGTAAATGTACTGTGAATGATCAATATGGGATACAATATATGACCAATTTAAATTGCCATTAAAATACAGATTTTTAGAATTTGATGATTTGAATGCCTAATTTTTCAACATTAAAGTTTCAGTAACACTAGTATTTGCATTTATTTGTTCTATGACAACTTAATTTTCTTCCTGATATTTTAAAGTTTTCTTAACTGTATGGTTTAAAAATACCTTATATGCCTCACAATTTTTTTAAAAAGAAAGAATGTTCTCTGCATGCCTTTTAGTGTCCTTATGGCAAAAAATATTTTCCTGCATTCTGTTAATGTTCTTTTTAGTGTATTTAAAATAAAGAGAGCACATCATTTAAAATTAGGGAAAGTAACCTCAATGTGATCACATTAGTGTTAAGAGCAGGACATAAGAAATTTTAAGAAAATACATTAAACATGATTATGTCGATCATCTCCTTATATTTCTTCGTAGAAGTTTTAGAAATTATTAAATCATACCTGACTGTAATAGTATGTCTGTAACTGGGCAGAAGCTTTTCCATATTTAAGAATCTGGTAATCTCTTCAAGTATGAGTCGAACATCAGGATTTAGATTATCCAGAGTTCGAACTTCATTGTTCACGCTGACTGCAGGAGTTACAGAGTTGGCTAGTGCATCAATCAGTTCTGCACGATAATAATTGTCTGAAAACTGAATCAAAGGACCATCAATTGAACAAAGAGAGGTAGTGAACATTGCACTGTTTATTTTTTAAAATAAAACAAATCATGCTAAAGCACTTAGCTCAGTTTGCTCCTATACAAAGTACAGTAAAACCTGTGTTATCCTACAAGCCTGGGGATTAGGGCATGCCAGTAACCTAAAAATTCTGGTTATCTGAGGGGGGTGGGGTGGGAGCCATGCGGGGTCTATGGGGGGGCACGGGAGCGGTGCGGGGGCCAGGATGTGGCCTGCTGGGGGGGGGGACCACAAGTTATTGGGGGGGAAGGCGGGATGCAGCCTGATAAGAGGGGGGTGGAAGCAAGGGGGCTATTAAACTGAATGATTTAGTGGCTAGTGTAGATACTTTTGAAGTTAGGTGACACAGCTATAGCAGGCAGACAGCGTTATCATTAATCCTCATGTAAAAAATCAATGAATATTCTGATAATAGTCATACTATGACTGTTCTCTTCCCCCCAAAACATCAGTGAATGCAATGTTTTTCTCATCTACTTGATTTGAAATAAGGTCCGACACTTTCAAACATGCATATATTATATTAGGCACTTTATTTCATGTTCAGATGTCTATATTTTCAGAGGTAGTAGGAACTCAAACTTTTACTGGTGTAAATGGGCGCTGTCTTCTGAAAATCAGGACACCTTTTATTAAGGAGCATACACATGAATTTCCATGTCGAGCTCTCTTCCGCTTGGTGCTTTTGTGGGTATTTTCTATGTACAGTAAACTTCCGATAATCCAGCATCTTTAGGACCCAGGGGGTGCCGGATTATCAGATATGCCGGACTATCGGAAGGGGGGGCTATGAGGGGTCTGGGGTGGGGTGGATGCCACCACAGACCCCTCATAGCCCCCCTTC